TTTTTTGGTTTTTCTCCGGTACCAGGAACCGAACTCATGACCTTGCGCTTGCCAGGCAGGCGCTTTGTCGCTGAGCTAAATCCCCAGCCCCTTTTGCTGTTGTCTTTTATGTCTTATAGAAGAAAATATCACAGTTTTCATTGTTTTATTCCTCTAGCTATTCCCTTTTTATTTCCCTGCATAGTTACCTGCGTTTTTTCATTTAAATATCAAGGCAGGGGTGGGGGAGTAGATAAGCTTCCTCCCTGGCCACCACTCATTAAGGTTCTTGCGCTTTGCAAAGGGAGGGGGTAAACTGGGGCACAGCGGGAAATAGCTGTGCAGAGGGTGTGCTGAGCTGATTTGTCTTCACTCTAAAGGAAAAGATTAAAACAAAAGCTATGAAAGGATTGGGAAAAATAGCAGTTCCCCTTCTATTTTCTCTTCCCAGAGTTGCAGGGCAGTGCTTCATACTGTCCTGTTAATCTTATTTCCATACAGAACCCAAAGGTGAAGCCGGGCTTGGTAGTGCATGCCTGTAATCCCAGCACTAGAGAGGCTGAGGCAGGAGGATCATTGTGAGTTCAAGACCAGCCTGGGCTACAAAGTGAGCCCAAGGCCAGCCTGAACTGCACAGTGAGACTCTGCCTCAAAAAGGCAAAAACAAAAAACAAAAGAGCCCAAAGGTGAATGTGCTCACTTATAAGAGTAGCTATAGAGTTTTATACTAACAGTGAGTATTTTTGATTCTTGTTCATAGTAGATTCATTTTATTTATTTACTTGAATTGTTAGCCCAATAAAATTTGCACAAGTAACTCCAAAGAGCTATCGAAATCTATGTTTTCTGAAATTAGTTGCATAAAATTTTCCCGTGTGTGTATAACAGAAAATAAAGTTGGGTTGTTGTAGATGATGCAAATAATGTTTAAGATTTTTCTTTAACGGTTGTGTCATCTTGATTGTAGAGGATTATGATCCACTTTTTTCTTTTATTTTTTTCTCACTGAGCAAACAGAATAATTGTTTAAATGCCTTAAACTAGGAGTCACACCCTACATGTGAAGCCAACAGCCTTTACAGACATGGAGCATAGACAGTTGGCTTTGTTTCACGTGACCCTAAAGCTTTAGGCTATAGCTATCTATAATATGGGATTAATTTCAGACCCTACTTCCAAGTCCTAAATGATCAGCAATTAGTTTTAAGATGGCTTTATTTCATATTATTTATGTTTTAATTTAGTTTCTGGCATAAAAATGAAAAACTTTATTCCTATTGTCATACATATTATCTGGAAAAATGGGACAAATTAGATTTATTTGTAAAATAGCTGTGCTCACATAATCATTTCATTCATTCATTCATTCTTTCTTTCTTTGGCTAAATCTCTATTGAATGCCTAACAGAGGAATGCTCTGAGCTAAATATTGAAGACACAAAGTTGTGAACAAGACAAATGGTCCTGAAAATTACATATAGTACAGCAAGAGTCAGTACATGGAAGTGTGTCTTTAATCTGGTCCAGCAAGCCCGATCTATGCTGATAACAGAATAGTGGAATAACAGGATGCAACCAGCTAGTCCCCTTTACTAGTAGAACTCTCAAGAAATTCCCTCATTACTATTTTAGAGTAATGAACAATAGGGAGAGGAATAAAACTATCTTAACAATGACGTCAAACTGATTGCGTGAGAGTCCTCCCCCTCTCCTTGGATTCCCTGAGACCCTGAGGGCCGTCTGTGTTCCAGGTATATGAAGTTGTCCCGTGCCACAGTGACTGCAACCAGTACATATGGGTCACCGAGCCGTGGAGTGTCTGCAAGGTGACCTTCGTGAATATGCAGGACAACTGTGGAGAAGGCGTGCAGACCCGAAAAGTGAGGTAAGGCCACACCTGGTTATACAGAGAGCCACCTTCCAGATCCACCTAGGCCGCTGTGAGTGCTGATGCCCCTCTAGGCTCTTGAATAACTTTGTCTTTAGTCTTGTTTTTAGGGAATCAGGTTCATGGCGATCTCTAAGACCATCTGCTTCAAGCAACACTTGGAGATACTCTTTTCTTTACTTAAAAGATTTCACTTCCTAGCTCTTGAAGAGCGGTCACTAGAGCTGCCTCCTGGCTACGGCCCCTCAGCCCCTGTGGCCGTGCTGTCCAATCAGGAAGCCTCTAGCCTACCTTGCTATTTTGATTCAAGCTAATTAGAAACAAAGTTTAAAACACGTTTCTTCATTCACAGTAGCTGTATTTGAAGTACTCAGTAGCCATAGAAGGGTATTCTGTTGTAAAGAACAGATAGAAAACACTCTTGTCTTGTACTGAAAAGATCCACTCACATGTTGGCACATTTATTGAATTCTGTAGGTTTCCCCAAACAAAACTTTGCCATATTCATAAGAACTCCCTGATGCCAGTGTAAGTTTGGTATGTGTTAAGTTGTCCATGTCATCTCTGTCACATGCATCACATGACCCTTAAAAGTTCTAGAACCTGTGAAACAGGTGTTTGAGGTTTTATCTTGTCCATTAGATTCCAAAGTTCTAACCTAGAAGGACCATTCATGAAGAGTTGCAGTTCAAACCCAAATCTCCTGTCACTCTCTAGTTGTACCAGTTTCATGTCACCCTCTCAGTGACACAGTAAAGACAAATTTATAATCCAAGTGTTGGCAACACACGTTATTAAATTCATTTTTTTCCTATAACCATTTCATGAATTTAAGATTGATAGCTCGGCGTGGTGGCGCACGCCTGTAATCCCATCAGTCGGGAGGCTGAGGCAGAAGGATCATTGCAAGTTTGAGGCCAGCCTGGGCTACAAAGTGAGCTCAAAGCCAGCCTGAACTGCATAGCGAGACCCTGTTTCAAAAAGACAAAAAAAAAAAAAAAATTGATGTTGCAATAGGTAAACAGAACAAATTAATATTTACACCATAAAATGTTTGCACATAAAACTGTATTTCTAACAGAAATTTTCTTTTAAAAGCCCAGCTGAACTCTCAATTTATTTTTGTTCAGGAACTTCATGAAGGTGGTCTAGACATGAAAAAGCTGCAGGGACTAAATGAGCAGATAGGAAAAAGGAAGAAAAAGAGATTCTGTCTTCTGTCATTCTTGCAAATTAATTTTTTTTGGTTTTGTTTTTTTTTTTTTTTTGAATTTTTCCAGTACCGGGAATCAAACTCACGACGTCACATTTGCCAGGCAGGTGCTGTGCCACTGAGCTAAATCCCCAGCCCCCAAATTAAATATTTTCTCTCAAAAAGTAAGACAAAAAAAATTTGTCCTGGATTAGATCCATTTAGTTGCTTGCTTATTTTAAAAAATTTACAGTTGAACAGCTACTGATTTTTTTCAGCTTTCCCTTCAACTACTATTGCTTCTTTTTGCTTTGTAAGTAGATATTTGCAACATGTGTGAACACACTTGAAAGAAAGGAACTTTTCAGATCAGCTTTTTTAGCAAACATCTTTGGCGCCAGTAGACTGGAGGAGGGCAGCCCTGAGTGTGATCTCCAACCCTGTACTAATGTTTATAGTACACATGAATTTAACACGTGAATCCTCCCTAACTTTGTCTTCTGCTGATTAAGCCAAGATGTCCTATGAAATGCAGACACGGGTGACTTTTCAGGATAAATGAGTCTATGAAAGAGCAGGTTTAAATTTATCCCAGCTCAGTCTTCTACTCTGAGGCTGATGATGATACAGGGGAAAGAAACTCCCAACCTGCTGGACGTCAGGTGTGAATTTGTGTTCTCTAAAATCAAAGAATGAATGTTAGGGACAACAGAGGTTAGGAGCAGAATACATTTATTGGGGGGGAGAAAGCTTCTGTCCAAGGGGGAGACAGACAGACAGAAGGGGACCTGAGTGGGTTGCCAAGGACCCTGCCTTTTCTAGGGATTTTTATAGAGCAAATCCATGACATGAGGTGGGTCCAGCATGGGAAACATGGGAACTCGCAAGGTGGGCGTGAGGCGGGACAAAACTATGGTCAGCCAATGAGATCACAAGCATAATTGCTCAGGTAAAATAGATTAAATCGGGATCAAATGGGGAAGCAAGTCATGCAGCAAGTGGGCATGAATTCAGAACAGGGGCATTTCCTGTAAGGGGTTGGATTAGTAACTCTTCCTGGCCTTTTCAAGGTGACTGATACCTATTTAGAGTATCAATCCCTGATGTCCATCCCTAGGGAGGTATGTGGGTGCATTTGTTTCATCTTTTGTCTCAAGGTCTGGTCCACAGCAGAAGTGCGTGTCTCTCCCACAGTCCCAAGGTATCTTGTCTTCTACACTGGCTCCTTTGAGGACCCAGCCCTTTCTGACTGCCTACAATAATTCTACCTAACTCAGCTGCCTGCAACAATATGGCATAGCAAGGAGTGGGTGGTGGTAGTAATCTGCAATTGGTAGGAAGCTGTATTCTTTCAATGACATTTTTTAAAGAATTGCCTGTAGTATGAGAAATGTAATGCTTTGGGGAAGAGGATGCATGTGTTTACAATAGCACGATTTATAATAGCTAAGTCTTAGAAACAGTGCGTATGTCCATCAACAGATTAATTGATAAGAAAATTTCTTTACACAATGGGATGCTACTCTGCCATAAAAGAAAGGTAAACTTGAGGAATTCACAGATAAATGGGTCTAACTTGGGAACATAATGTTGAGTAAGTGAGACACACGAGCTTAAATATCACATGGTTCTTCTTTGTGTAACAAACTCAAGGTAAGGTATGCAAAGGAGGAACAAAGCAGAAGACAGATGAATAGGAAGGAGAGGATCAAATGCTTCCCCAAATGCCTACTCCATTGTTTCAAACTATTTTAATATATATACTAATTTGTTTCATTTATATTACCAGTTTCTTAGTTCACTAAAAAGAAAGTTTTGTGCTAATATCTGTTTCTTCTTTGTAAGAGAGAATCTTTTTTGTGGATGTCTTGTACTCTGAGTAAGTTCTTTAAGATAACGATACACAGTGTATTAACTATTGTTGTTCTCTTATTTTTTATTGTATCATAAAGTAAAATATAGAAAACAATTACCAGCACATGTTAACAATAAAAAGACAGATTTAGCTGCTGTTGATAATGACTTCCCCATGAACACACTCCCTTATTCCCACCTCCGTCACGGCCCTCTTGCCTCACCCTTTATCTCAAAATTTGTGCTGTGCTGTGTTTTCCTAAAATCATTCCATTTTCTCACAGCATTACTTTTGCTTATTGGAAGAAATAAAGGGTAAAAATTTCAAGAAAGTAAATGAATTCTGCCTTCTGTTGGGCTCGACACTTGATCCAAATACTTATTCTGTATTCTAGGGTGATAAAAATTGTAAGTAGGAATGAAAATAAAGACAATCTCTTAGTAGGTTAAGTTTGCTCCTAATTTATAGAATGAAAATGTATGTTTAAAATACTAGTCTGCTAGAAATAAAGTCTGTTAAGCATTTCTGAGTGGTAAATATAATAAATACAAATGTATAGTATCAAGCAAATAAATATCTGATTATATATTTTTACTATATAATATACATTCTTATTATTTCTTTCAATTTTCATTAAATGAATACATGGCTTTTATAATACAACATGAAAATAAAAGGAAGAACTTTGAAAATGAACTCCACGTACAGAATTACTTCCTAGACACTGAACATCTGTTCTTAACTTGGATCAATATTTTGCAGCCTAATCCTTGTGTACGAGTCAGTACCTACCATGAATGCGACCTCGGAATTAAATCCAGCTTCTGAGCAGGGAAATGATCTGTCTGCTCAAGTGCTCTTCAAGCTGCTGTCAAAAGAACATTTTTTAAATGCTCTTATGGGTAGAACTTTTTCTGAGAAACTAAAATCCTCCCAAAGAGATGATAGCTTGATTTTTTTTTTGGCATTGGAATCAATAAATATCTACCTTCATATGTTTTTATGATTGCTTTTTATATACAGAATGTACAAAAAATGCACAGATAGACATTTGTGTAGATATTTTTTTCCAGGCTATACCCAGTCATGACAGGACCATGGTACAGTTTTCAAATCCGAGTATATCTCACAGGAAAAGGCTATTGCTTTTACTTTTGGCAGCACTTTATCCAAACATGATTCTGCAAAGTAGATTTGTAAAGACACAGTGTCCCCTCCTGATTATAAATCCCTGAGAAAATTGGGATTCCAGGTGAAATTAGTAACATAATTCAACTGACAGGTGAAACATTGCAATGGTCTGTGAGCCTTAAGAGCTGGAGCCTTCCTTTTCATTTCCTCTGATGCTATTCTCTTCCCTATTAATTTGGTTGACCTTTTCCAAGTGACAGATGAGGAATAAAGTTTTTTTCTTCCACTGCTGAAGCGTCCAGGGAGAGACTGTTACTGTATTAAAAGAAAAGCTGCATTAATTGAATTCTTAAGGGCTAAGTACAGAGTCCTTCATAACTGCTTAGAACAGAATAAATTGAATGCTAGGTTTAAAAATTTGTTTGGTTAAAAACAAAAGCAATGATTAAGAAATCAAGATACAAGAAGATCCAAATAACCACATTTAGAGAACTTGCGCTATTTTAATTATAATTTTCTTTTTACTTCTTGCTTTCCTTTCAGGTTAGCAATAGATGGAGGCTGAAATTACTTTTAAAATAACAAAACAAATTCATAAATGTCTCCAGTTATCTTTGGAAACACTGCCTAAAATCTTTCAGATAGGTATTACAACATGCCTAGTCTTCCATCCTATGTGAACCACATCAACCTTCTCTACAGAATCCACTGTTTCTGGAACACAAACACGGATTATAAAATTGTAACTTCTCTGTGAGTCTCTTTGGACCACTGTCATTAGTTCCTGCCTCATAAGTGAATCTGAATGACCCTTTCCTTCCAGGGGAAGCTTACCTGCAAGGCAGAATTCACATACACATGTATATTAACATCATGCATGAAGGCATGTATTTTTAACTCAAGCAGAAGCACTATAAATTCGGGGGAGACAGAGATCCTTTTAAGATTCATTTTTGGAGGCAGTTATTCATTAGATACAGAGCTTCCTGGCCCAGTGCTGAGATGTTGTAAGAAGAACCACCTATTCTATGGGTTGGCCATTATTCTACTGGTTGTGAGTCCTTCACTGGCATGTATTTTTCCAGATGCATGCAGAATACAGCGGACGGCCCTTCCGAAGTGGTGGAGGATTACCTCTGCGACTCTGAGGAGATGCCCCTGGGGTCTCGAGAGTGCAAATTACCTTGCCCCGAGGACTGTGTAATATCCGAATGGGGCCCATGGACCCTCTGTGCTTTGGTGAGATAATTAATCATGTTATTAATGGGTAGTTGGCTGGATTCCTTACCACTTAAGCTTTAAAGGTAATAAGAAAAATGATAGCTTTGATGTCAAAGCTATTTGTGAACCAAGTTCGCCGATGCAAAGCATGTACTCTTGGCCAGTTCGTTCTCTCACAGTGCCGTGGAAAGGTCAGCAAAGTTTCCTCTCACACTAAGCAGCTCCACTCTTGCAGTATCACTTGAAACATCACTGGCTGCTTGTTAGGAAATTTGCTTATCCTTGACATCTCCATAGACATGCGCATTTTAAAAAGAGCATCGAACCATGGGGAAAATTCATCTAATATGAACTTATTTGCTGAGATGCTCTATAGAAGAATGTTAAGGAAAAGTCTACAGTATCTTTTTCTATGGAGAAATTGCTTCAAAGATGTTGACTGGCAATTAAATAATACAGCTGGACCAAAATGGGCCTGGTACTTGGCTTTACAATAGGTTAAAGTGCAAAGCAAACCAACTTTTTCACAAGAGCATGTGTCTTATTTTTCTTGTTGCTAAGAAAAAATACCTGACACCCAAAGTGAAAGGTGGAAAGCTCTATGAAGCTCACAGTTTGTAGAACTTTCAGTCCATAACTGGCTGGCTGCAAGGCAGGGTGGTGAGACAGACACGCATTGCAGAGGAAAAACAGCGCATGGTGGGCAGCAGACAGTAGAGCAACAAGCAATGAGCACAGCACTCACACTCTTAATCCTAGCGCTCTTGACCTTAGCATTGCACTGTGAATCAATCACACATCATAGATCCGTCCACCTCTAAAAAAGCCCCACCTATGACCGCATGAGGTTTTGGGGTCTAAACACAGTCCATAACAGCATGCAAATAAATTTCTCTTTTAATTCTATTCCATTGGATTTGAAGGTATGCCAAATAGTTGGACTACCTTCTGCAGTGTCTAGCCATGTCTGTAATTGTCAGAATCTTTTCTTTTTAGATTCGTTGCAAAAAGCCTCCATTTTTATAAAATGGTGAATGTGGAATCTAACATTCCTAAACTCATGTATGAGATTCTAATAACAAGAGCCACTATGAGGGGATTATGCCCATATCATTACTGTTCTCAAAGACCAAGGATAATCACTGTAGAAAAATAACTGAGACTACCCTAAGTATAAAAGAGTGTTGGTGAAATATACATTGTCTTCCTGTCAGTTTGCCATAGAAATATTTAGAAAAAGAATGAAGCTCAGTTGAACAGCTATGCTGCTTCGGCTTTATATTTTAATTTTTAGCTCATCTTGTTTCCTTCGACTACCAGGAACTGTGTTGGGAGTGCAGAACACACAGATATATAAGATATGAGCTTCTCATTGTACACACACTGTAGAATGGAACAATATTATAAATACATAATTTGCATTCTGTAGGAATAGTAAAGGTCATTGCAGTGTGTAATCAAAGTACAGGAAGGAGCAGAGGAGGAAACAATTGTTTGGGCCTAAAAAAGTCCAAGAAGGCATGTCCTTACCTGCTTCCTCTCTTAGAAAACTAATGTTTTTGGAGATGAATCAGTAGAAGAATGTCAGTCAAGTCTTTTCAGGGTCTAGCTGTGATGTGCACATATATTTGTATGCATTAAGAATCAGGCTGGGGATTTAGTGCAGCGGCACAGTGCCTGCCTGGCAAGCACAAGGTTGTGAGTTCGATTCCCGATACCAGAAAAAAACCAAAAAAATAAAAAAAAATAGAAGTCACTGATACCCAGATAATTATTTAAAGTTACTCTCAAAAGATTTTCCTAATGAAAGAGAATGTATGCATAATTTTACATTAAGGAATTAGCATTTTACAATGGCAAACATGACCGTAAGTATGTGTTGGTATAGATGTGAGATGATGTGTGTTCGTTGCTGGCGTATGGAATCTTAAGCATCTTATAGCTAGATGGGACTTCACAGGCTCAGCTAACACCTTCATTCTGTACATAGAAAACCTGAAGCATAATCAGATTGACCAACTTGCTCAAGTTAGTCAGTGGCCCAGATATTCTAACTCCTGCTCCAGTGCTGTGCCTAATGTCCTAGCTGTTGTGTGCCTGAGAACTCACCTTTCTGAGGAGTCCTGTTGTTTTCTATAAGCCTTGCAATCAAAGCAGTTTCCGGCAAAGGTCAGCTGATCCCGTCAGACAACCTGCTGATGAAGGAAGAGCCTGCCCTGATGCTATCGAAAAGGAGCCCTGTATCCTGAACAAAAACTGCTACCACTATGATTATAACGTGACAGGTATGTGGAAAGTCATCTCACCACATAGCTCGAGGCCAAATCCCGTGTCTGTCTGCCCTGAAACATTCGCATCAGTATAGCTCATCTGTATCTGTGTGTGCTTCGGACCTGGAACTTGGGCTCCCAGAAATAATTATTTACTAAACAGCATAAACATTTATCTATTCTATTTTTAGCAAATTTGGAGATATAAAGAATAAATATCTCAACGGACATTGACCCATAAAGTAGGTTGTGAATATTGTAAGTAATCCTATTTGAAACATCATCCCACATTACAAAGACACAAGTAAAAGAACTATTTTTAACACAGCAAGTTTATTGAAAGACGTCTTTCTTTTTCAGATATTTAACTGCTGTAGCATATTGAGGCAACAATTCTTGGGTGTATGGGTAGTTTATAAGTATGGCTAATTTGTTACCCAAACGTCAGCAGTCTTAAATTGGGCCAAAGATTATAAATCAATGTTATGAAAGGTAGAGAAAAATACATGAGTGTTTTTCAGAAAACCAAATTTATTATAAATTTCTTTTTACCCTAAAATCTATTTAATATTTTGCATACAATAAGAAAATATTTCATAGGTCCATACGATTTGGGACAACACCAAAGCTAACTTTAGAATTTTACAAGTCCAGTGATATCATAGTCATAGTCACTTTTTATTTCTCTTGATTTTCACTACAGTTTGTTTTCATGACACCCAGGAAACCGAAGTTCTCTGGGACATGCTTCATTAGCCTGGATAAAAGATGAAGAATTATTTTGCAAAAAACATAAGATAAAAGAATTAAATAGTGTGCCCAAAGTTATTTTTGAAATAAATAAGTTTGTATTTAAAGCATTCAAAATAAGAAAAATTTATAAAATATGTACTTTTACTAGAATATGGCTACACAAAGCACCATCTATAAAAATGACGGTAATTTTGCTAAAGCAGACATAATGCTAAAATTATAAATTCTACTTTTATTAGAAACAATATTTAAGTGACATTGATCTGTGGGCCCAAGTCATTTTTCCAGTATCACCAAACAGCTAGCTATCAAGGTTGTCAGCTCGACATCTGCCATGAAGAATAATCCCTGCAGCTATGTGCAACCCCAGCAATTCTGTCTGACTCCTGATATGTTCAAAGCTGGGACCCATATGCTCTGTACGTGGGATGATTGATTGCAGGGCTTACGAAGCAGTTTTGAATTAAGTATGGGATTCAGGTCATCAGAGTTTCATCTGAAATCTGTTCCATGCACGGCCTTCTGTTCCGATGAGCTTCCTTCCTTTCAGACTGGAGTACGTGTCAGCTGAGTGAGAAGGCCGTCTGCGGAAATGGCATCAAGACAAGGATGCTGGACTGTGTCCGAAGTGATGGCAAGTCGGTGGACCTGAAATATTGTGAAGAGGTGGGTGGGTGCTGGGTTACACCTTTGTGAGGAAATTTCTCCCTAATAACTTCATTTCATGATGAATCTAGCGACCTGTGTGCTTCTGGCGCTCATTACAGCAGATGTTTTCTGCACTAGTCATAAGCCACTTAGTGCCCTCCTGAAAAAAGACAGCCTCCAACACTACTGATTTCCACATATAATTTCCTGTATTTTGTTCTGCTTGGAGCCCAGAGCTATGCTAATTAGCCCATCTCCAAAGAAATGCTTGTGAAACAATGAGTAATCAGGTGAGTAGAGGCAATAAATCTTAATCGGACTACTCATCATCTTTTGTAATTTGATGTGAATTTTTGCAGTGCCTGGGACACCTGCCAAGATCCATCATTTATTCTCCCTGTTGTTAAACATGGATCGCCCGTGGTTTGGTAGCAGCTTTTGATATTAAGATCTAATACCCAGCTGTGAGAGTCCAAGTGCTCAGGTCTGGATAATACAGCTTGAAATTCAAACAAAGAAATAAAATCCATCATTATGACTTTTTAGATACAGAGAAATATAGTTGTTAAATTCTCTAACTGAAGAATGTAGTGTCGTGTTCCTGGATGACCTTGCATAACGCCAAGAAGAAATGACCTTCCTTAGTTTTCATGAAGCGCCACTTCATGTTATAATAATCTTATCTGATTTCCATACGGGAAATGCACTCACATTCCTGGCAAGTTTGACTCCAGGAACACCTGAGGCCTCTGGGTCAAATTCAAACCAACATAAGCAGAAGCTGCAGTAGATCTGGAGTAGGCCAGTAGGAGTTTATAACTTCATCAAAGAGTCCAGCAGACATGGTCACCACAAATCATCTATAGATTCTAGGTGTTATTATCAACCCAGAGGAAACTCTCCCAACTCCTAAGGAAAAATTCTAGATGGAAATATTTTAATCCATTGGATATCTTTTGCCTATGCGCCTCTGTGTTCATGGGAGCAGAGCTCTCAGATGTGCTAAAAACATCTAGTTGTTTATTTAATAAACCCTTCCCACTGTAATCTTACAATATGATTGAGTTTGTTCTTACTTTGGATTTAAGCAATTTAAATTTCACGACTGAATCATCTTGGTTTTGAAAATAGTAACATTGCAGTAGTGTAACTATTATATATAAAACGTTATTGTGATGGAGTACAATCACACACTGGCTGGAGAGCTTTCTGGGCCCTGATTCTACCTGGCAAATGCACACATGAATGTCATCCCGGACCGAATAAAACAGAAAGTGAGTAGTTGTGAGAGCTGTTTGAAAACTGAACCCAAATCATACAAGGCCAGTGTTAAACTATTTCATATGACTAAAGGACTAAGGTAAAAATAGGATCATGGGTTTAACTGCAGTAGTTTAAAATAAACTGGATAAACTCTATGAAATACCTCATTTCAATTATTTCAGAGGTAAGATAATTTCACCCTCAAGTGAAAATACCGCAATGACGACTAGAGATTCTGAGCCCATAGTGCTGGTACTGTCTGTGGTAGACGGTGCTACTTTCTGAGGGAATTGGATTAAACAGCTCACATCCCGCTTTATTCATACCTCTCTCCCTGCGGTAGATTTCCAAGAAAAACTGGGCCATCTTTGTAAACAATGGATTAATTGCCTACCTACTAACACATGTGCACACCCTGTGTTCAGGACAGTAGCAGTAGGGAGCTCTTGCTGCTTCTCTAAATTGCCACAATTACCGCCCAACAGGGAAAAACAGGGAGAACCCACCCTGGTATTTATGTAGTATTTTTTCCCTTGGGTGATTTTGAGATATTTACTCACCTGATACCTGGTCATTCATTTCTCCTTTCCTATTCTTTAAACCCTAAATAGACTTCTTTTAACTAAGACTGATATATTTAGCTAAGTGAATGGATGGGTAAATAGCCAGTGGATAAGAAAGTGACTAAAAATATACAATAAATGTATGAAAAATAGTACAGGGTTAATACATCTCATTAGTAGATATTCAGGACATCTGTAAACACATACCTCTTTCTAACCTGTTATTTTTTTTTTATTTTAAGGAATAAAAGAAGGATAACATAATAATAGGGGGGACTTTGCAAATTACAGACAAAATGGTAGGAAATTATCAATGGTTATCATTTTACATATTATTGTCTACAAAATAGTTTCTCAGGAAAACAAATAGACAAATAATAGTGAGTTACAGAAAAAAAGAGGTAGGAGATTATCAAGAGTTGTTGTACTATACTTTGGTATCTTCAAAGTGGCTTCTAAGGAAAATAAATAGAGCTATACATGAGTGACCTATTGAAAAATCATTAACTATTCTCAATGGTTGTTGTAGGAAACACATAATAATAAAAAACAGACATCCATTTATGAAATAGGATAGGAACATTACAAACTTTACACAGTTATGGATAGATTAGTAGGAAAATATCAATGGCTGCTGTAATACGTGGTGGTATCTTCAATATGGTTTCTCAGGAAGACAGAGATATGCAAGAGGGACCTATTAAGTAGTTACAGCCTAAGGGTTGTCAAAAATAGCATATTACCTCCTCACCAGTGACTCCTTTCACTGAGGTATGATGGCTGGAAGGAAGGCCAGGATTGAAAAGAAGGACCGAGAGACTTGCACCTGTGTCTCTAACCTGTTATAATAGTTAAATTCTATGATTGAAACTCTCTGTGAAGCTATTATTTAATTTAAATGTAACATTATTTTAATCATACCACTCCAAGATTCTTATAGCCAACTTCCTATGAGCTTTATGAGTCTTTAATTGATATGTTAAAAGATAATTTTATCCTAAATATTAAGGTGTCAAGCATTTGCACTGAAAAATGTAATGAGAGTGCCTACTGAAGAAAATAGTACAAAAATCAAGGATCAAGATCTCAGTTCCACACAATAAATGTATTTAGTGTATACCCAGCACATGTACTAATAAAAAGGAAAGAAGAAAAATGTGTGTACTATACAGAATGTAGTTAAATATGTTTGTATACCTCTATCTATAAAAAAAAAAACCCAACCTTATAAATATATACACTGTGCTGTATAAAAGCCATTGATCTGATCATCTCAGTGGATAGCTTAGACCAAAGAACTATACTTGAAACAATATAGAACATTTTTCTGTTGTTATCATCTCTATAAATTAGAAAATACGAGTTTTGTTTTCATATAGAAGGAACAAAGGCCTTTACATTTTCTAAAGCTACCAATATAAAAAATTGTATCCCCTATCAAGCTCTTAAATTTTTCCTATTTCAGTGATACTTTGTACCTTAGAATTTGTACGTTAGAATATACAGCAGATGAATTTGAGACCTCTACTTCTATTTTTAAAGTAGCACATGTAAATTATAAACAGTGAACCCTAAATGCCAATAAAATGGCACATCATTATCGGATAAGAAGCTTAACAACAAAATAACCAAATTTTATTACCGTTAGCTGCTAAGATCAGTTTTAGAAGAGAAAGTGTTTGTTTAAAAATGCATATAAATCGGGCTGGGGATTTAGCTCAGTGGCACAGCACCTGCCTGGCAAGCACAAGGTTGTGAGTTCAATTCCTAGTACCAGAAAAAAAAAATGCATATAAATCATTCATGATGAAAAACGCTCAGAGGAGCCACACTTCCTTTTGAGAAAGACAGCTTGAAAGCTCTGAGGGTTGACGGGTACTGAGGTTTGTGAATGCTGAGCACACTCTCAACCGCTGAACTCCATCTTGCCCCAAAATTGACATTTTATATTATTTCATCACTTTATATCATTAATCTTCAGTGGCAGTTTGTCTTTAAAAATCTTTCCCTTTCCCTTTCCCTTTTCTGTTTCACATGTAAAAAGCAAATAATATCCTGAAGATATAATTGTGGATCTATATGTTAATTATATTCTTGCCTTTGAACTACTAGAGAGTAATTATGCTTATATACTTACTTTTTTCTCATTTAGGAAAATCTAACCCGTTGGGAGACTAAATCTATTTTTTTTTCATTGTTTACTAAAAATTATTACATAATACTTAAGAATATACAGTCGGTAGCCCTCCACTCACCCTGTGCCCTTGGCTGTGATCCTCCTGGAGTGAGCCATAATAGTTTGTTTTTTCTCCGGTACCGGGAACCGAACTCACGACCTTGTGCTTGCCAGGCAGGCGCTTTGCCGCTGAGCTAAATCCCCAGCCCCTGAGCCATAATAGTTTGGATATGTGATGGTTTGGATCTCCTCTCCTCTCCTGCCTTCCCTCTGCTGTTCTCTCCTCTCCCCTTCTCTCCTCACTGCTTCTTTCCTCTCCTCCCCTCCTTCCCACCGACCGTACATCCTGAATAGATCTCCCTCTACTTTTTCAGCTTGGCCGTGAGCGGCACTGGCAGATGAACGTGTCCTGCGTGGTGGAATGCCCCGTGAACTGTCAGATGTCTGACTGGTCTCCTTGGTCAGAATGTTCGCAGACATGTGGCCTCACAGGTTTGTTTTACCACAATTAGCGTCAGGCTAGTTGTCAAGGTGCATCACATAAAATATCGCTCTTTAAGTCATATCCAGTAACCTTCAGAAAGACTCCTAGCTAGGGAGTCTTCCTTTCTAAAACATGGGAGCTTTATTCATTCCTGGGTCTACTGGAGAGATCTCTATGCTGCCTCCTTCCGATAAGATATCTGCTTGCACGGCCGTAACATATCACTGAAGTCACATCACTTTGTATCTCTGGAAGGAAAAATGATCCGAAGACGAACAGTGACCCAGCCCTTTCAGGGGGACGGAAGACCGTGTCCTTCCCTGATGGAGCAGTCCAAGCCCTGCCCAGTGAAGCCCTGTTATCGGTGGCAGTATGGCCAGTGGTCTGAGTGCCAAGTGCAGGTATCAAATCTCAAGAAGCTGTGTGAACTGTGTATCTGTAAAGACGTGGTTTCAGAAATGTTTTGCAGAGCTGACAGGCTGAAGGTTCCTACTCGAAGATCTTAGTTACTTTGCTATTTTGCAACCATTTAATTAGCTTTGAAAACAAAAACTCCCTGTCCTGTACTTCTACAATCATTTGGAGACCAATTCGTTTTAATGAAAATTTATTTGCCTGTCTTTGGCTAGAAAACAAATGCATCGTTCAGTGTATGCTTTCTATCTTGCGTCCTACTGGACTCCTTCCCCAGGGTTTGAAATGGTTCTCTGACTGTTCATAAATCAAACTCAGTGATGCAGAGGTGGCTGTAAGTGATGAGCTCCCTAATGAATTCTTTTCCTTTTGCTAATTAGTCATTTCTTCCTCCATTCCAGGAGGCCCAGTGTGGAGGAGGGACCAGAACAAGGAACATTTCCTGTGTCGTCAGTGATGGGTCGGGTGATGATTTCGGCAAAGCGGTGGATGAGGAGTTCTGTGTGGACATTGAACCTATTGTGGATGGTAATAAAAAAATGATTCTGGAGGAACCCTGCACCCAGCCTTGCCCAGGTAATAGCAGCAGAACAGAATCTATTTTAGTGATTTCCTTCCAGGGCCAGGGTCAAGAAGGTTTTGCATGTACTAGTAAGTTAAGGGATGTCAGTAGTCTTTTGAGTAATACCCATAGGTCCTGTCCCAGCAGCTAAGTACCTGTGGGTAACGGCACTGCCTCATTACTGCGGGGAGGGTGGAGTGAGTCTCTCATGTGTCCTCTCTTAATACCCCTTGGGAGTCTTACCATTTGCAGAGGATGAGAATTAACGCCTTCAGAGTTTGTTCTCACATGAAATACATAGCACAGAAGTTCAGAAAATCAGCCTTGGCCATAATCCATTTGGGATTTCCAGGAAAAAAAAGAGAGTGACGGATGGGCAGTCTTCACATACATAACTAAAGAACATGTAAAGAAGAGTTTCATTTTGTTTTGTGGCTGGTTTTCACTTCACATAATGTTTTCCAAGATTCACTCATTTTTTTGTTTGTACCTTCTGAAAGCTGACTTTGAACCCTGAACAGAATCAACAACCAACTCACACCTATGTATGCGGCAGTTAGAGCACAACGTGAGAAGGCAGTAAGCATTCATAAAGAAAAAGCCAGTTGAGCATGCTGGTGCACACCTGCAATCCCGGCACTCCGAGAGACTGCAGTGGGACTGGTAGATTTCATCTCAGTCTTGGCAACTTAATGATTTACCAAGACCCTGTTTCAAAATAGAAATATTTCAAAAGATCTGGAAGTGTAGTACAGTGTCAAAACCCTATATAAGTTTACTCCCTCGTACCAAAAAACAAAAAAGAAGGAAAAAAAATCAGATTATTTATGACTTGAAGACAAAATAATATGATTGTAGAAGAAAATATTAAATGATTTATTCAGAATCAATGCTAGACAAAAGGAGTGAAGGATATAAAATGTAGAAAGCCAGTGTTTTATACTCAGTAATGTAGAAATATTGGAGAACAAGATAAGCTAACATTTAGGAACCTCAGCTTGATGTACAGAATGGCAGGGAAGAGTTTAAGTCACAAAACAGTTAGAAACACACTCTTAGAAAAGATATTTGGGCAAAAGTTTGTAGTAGATGTGAAATGAACACAACTAGAAGTGAATTAATTTTTTTTTATTCACAAATGGGAACATTTTATTCTAATTTCCTTACAGTTAAGAAAAATGTACATTTCTTTTAAAACACATCCTTTTGAATAAGAGCTCAAAAAATAAAAGTAAAGATCTGGCAAAGTAATGATTGGGCATAAAATATTTTCTATACAAAATAATATGAGTCAGGGGCTGGGGATTTAGCTCAGTGGCACAGCACCTGCCTGGCATGCGCAAGGTCGTGAGTTTGATTCCCGGTACCAGAAAAAAAACAAAACAATAATAATAATAATAATAATAATAATAATAATGAGTTGATTATTTTAAATGAGGAAAATGTACTTTTATGAAAAGTATAAATGGGATTATCTCTTTTTAAAAAAAAAAACCTGAATACATGGATTACCCATCCATGTATGCCTCAATTTACTCACTTCTAAGTAAATAGGTTATGTGAGATGATTATACTTTGTTATTTATTTTTAAGGTCAAGTGAGTGAAATTGAATAAAGCAGTAAAGAAAACAGCCCAGTACTTTGAGCTATAGGTTAGACGTCATTCAACTGTTGTGATGGTCTTTGCACACACAAATACTCTAACTTCCATCTGGTTAAAATATAGACTTAAAAAAAACAAAAACCTGAAGAACACAGCCCTTATTCAACGGGTGTAGTTTCATTATAGAAGCTGAGCAAGCTCTACAGGTCTGCTGTACCGCGTTGTGCCTGCCGTTAGCACTACTGTATTATACGCTGAAACTTTGGTTAAGGAGATATAGTCATGTTAAGTGTTCTTAATAAAATAAGATGTGACTTTTTAGAGCTAGGCAATGTGTTTATTCTTAGACAGTCTCCCAATTGCCGGTAAAAGCTGATCCAGCAATTCGCATGGACCACTTCCAGTCCTTGCAGCTGGCCTGATCCCAGTCAAGATCTCACAGGCCATTCAAGTTAATAAAATCGTCGTGAGTTACAATGGACCACAGTTGAGACTGCGGCAGCAGTGAGGGCTCTAGGGCACAATCAAGGAGTGGACCTGTGGACTCCGCTGTGCTAAATGGCCACATAGTCAACACAGAGTGTCCAAGGCCACATTGTGGAGGGCCTACCAATTCCAAACAAAATGCCCAGCGTTAATCATAGGATCAGTGTAGTATCTACCACATTGCTCAGAGCTGGCGTTTTTACCGGAAACTGGTGTCCGCCTTTCTGTGGACATCCACTACACGTTTTCATTATGCCTCCCACAGCACAATCACTCCTTCTCTTGACCTTTATATATCACGTGTAATTGTGTGCCAGCCACTGGACTTGAGGTTGGAAATACAGTGAGAGACAAACTAACCTTGTCCTCATAGAGCTCATGAGGACAAGGTTCTAATGACAGAAACAGTTAATAATCTAAGAGTAGGGGCTGGGGATTTAGCTCAGTGGCAAAGCGCCTGCCTGGCAAGCGCAAGGTCATGAGTTCGGTTCCTGGTACCGGAAAAAAAAAAAAAATAATAATAATCTAAGAGTGACATAAATAAGCAGAAGATCATAATCTGTGGTAAATAATGTAAAAGAAAACTGTAAGACGCTATGATAACATAGAATATAACATAGATCCCACTTTAATAAAACTACAAATCCAGAAGGGAGCTGCTCTCCCCTTATAAATTACAGCATATTCATTTACGTTCCTCTCTTGCTAGTTTTCTCTCATGATGGGTTTGAAAAGCCAGAACATGTGAACTAATAAGCTTTAAAGAATAGAATTCTGAATTAGGAAATACATTTCATGCATTTAATTATCGTGCATTTGGTAGACATGGCGTAGTTTTATTTGTATTGCAATGGTTTACGTGCCCAAAATGCATATAAAAGTATGTGCCGTACAGCCTCACCCTCATTTGCTGTTATTAAATCACTGAACTTTGCCATGCGTTATTTTGGGATGATAATTATATAACTCACAGACTGTCATTAAAATATTTATTGAGTTTTCTTGCAAATTACATGATGTTAAATGAGGATAAGCACAGAGATAAAGCCTTCCACTAAAAGAATATGTCTTATGTCCATGTAGTTTGCAGCCAATGAGGTGAAGTTGTGCCACGTTTGGGTTGATAGGATATTTTTATTTGAAACTTATTCTTTTCTGACTAATTAAAAACTGAGTAGCCCAAATGTAGCATTTCCTGGGAGATAGAAGTGTTTCTAAAACTTTCTTAAAATCTATAAAAGTATTTTTAGTTTCATTTTTCTAATAATGGATCCGTCATTATAGCTGTACATACTGAACCATATCACCATGTAGTCAATCCTGAAGAACGAATGAAAATTTGGAAAAGTAAACTGCATTAGGCCCTCCTGTCTTGGTTACTGTTCTCTCATTGCTGAGACAAAATACCCAACTCCCATAATGAAGGAAGGAAAGGTGTATTTAGCTTACAGTTTGTGGAGGTTTCGGTCCATACTTGGCTAGCTCTGAGGCAGAAGGTAGCAAAGCAACAACAGCAAAGGGGGGAATGGCAGCCGAACAGCAATGCAGCCAGAGCAAAAGGGAGGAATGGCGGCAAGCAGCCTCTTTCCCTCCCTTACATTGTAAACAGGCTACCCCCACCTAAGGGGCATGTAGCTCTCACATAATCTCCATGCCCTCCTCTTCCACAGGCTCAGAATGTATACAAAGTAAGCACCCTGGCTTCCTGCTGAGTCACTTAGCCAAACCTCTAAACTCCTCAAGTTGACACAATGTATCAAGCATAACACCTCCCTATTCTCAAAATGGTTCGAGATATTGAACACATGGGTACATTATAGCCCAGCAGTTCCACTCCTATGTACATACCTGATAAAAATACATCTGGGATGTGCCCTTGTCCATCAGAGGCTTGTGCTGATTCACAACAGCAATTATTCATAAAAGAGAAAACACGTAACTCTCTAATGCGATCAACAATAGAACGGGTATCTAATTTGTAGTATGTTCACACAACTGAAAAAAGTCCAGCAGTAAGAAAGAGCGTGTGAAAACTGCAATAATATATGACGGCTCTCATGGACATAAATGAGTTGAAAGAAGCCAGACACACACAAAGATGCATACAGTATTCATATATCATGGTGGGGGTTTCTGATATCCTGGGATGGTTCTGTTCCTTGATTTAATGTGGATTACATGGATATGAAATCAGAATATGAAAATTCAGCTTTCTATGCATTTATGATAGGTAATAATTTTTCATGTTCTGTATATTGTTGTTTGATAAATATTTATAAAGAGGAGATGATTAAAGATGTAGATCAAAAGAAATAGCATCATTTCCACTACTACAGCTGCCTCACTATAACCTTTGAGGAGAAATGGAGGTAAAACATAACTACCAGCTTTTTTAGCCTTGGACTTCACTGCTTTGAAGTTATGAATACCTAGAAAACAATAAACCCCTTTATGATGCTATGCAAGAGATATGTGTGTTGTAGCAAATATCTCTTAGGAGGTAATCTTAGTGAGAAAGTTACTTCAAGTCACAGTTATATTTCCTATCATTAAGCAACATGTAGCAAGTAATCACCACTCAGAAAAATAACAACAGGATGAAAACTTGTAAAATTGTATAGAAATTTGAAATTACGAGATGCTTATCCAAATTTTATAAATCTATAAATGAATAGCATACCAGTGTGACTGGAATTACAGTGTGTATCTGCCTAGCCATTCTGCGTAGGTCTGAGTATAAACTACCAACCTGTGATTTTCAGGCGACTGTTACTTGGAGGACTGGTCTTCATGGAGCCTGTGTCAGCAGACCTGTGTGAATGGGGAAGATCTTGGCTTTGGTGGAATACAGGTCCGATCCAGAGCAGTGATTATCCAGGAACTAGAGAACCAACATCTGTGCCCAGAGCAGATGTTGGAAACAAGGTCATGTGATGGTGAGTGTCTGCCGTCAGCAAATCTGCTCATTTTAGTTTTGTGTCAGTACGCAAAAGCGTAAGATAAAGACGGGCCAGCCGGGTGTGGTGGAACAGGCCTGTAATACTATCTATGAGGTGCTGGGGCGGGACAATTGAGAGTTCACGCAACCCTGGATAATTCAAGCAAGACAGTGTCTCAAATAAAAAAAGGATTGAGGGTGCACCTCAGTGCTAAAGTCCCCTGAGTTCAATCTCCAGTACTACAAAAAATAATTTTTTTCTATTAACAAATTTTCTAAAATCCCACGAAAAGTTGAGAATTAGTAGTAATATTCTGAATTATAAAATTTTAGAAGAAGAAAAATCCTGTCATCCATAATAAATTAGATGTAAAAAAATTAGAAGTGTATGTGCTTCCCAGGTTTACAAGCTAAAGAAGGCTGAGAGAATTAAGAGCACATTTCATACTTATAATAGTAAGTATGTATGAATCTAACAGTATCTTCCATTTACTTGTATGACAAGATTAAAGAAAAATTACAAACCCACAGCAAGATGGGAAACTTTACTATTCTCAGGAATTGATAAATCAAATTGTTAATAAGAATTAGCAGTTTTAGCCAGGCATGGGGGCACGTGCCTATAATCTCAGCACTTGGGAGGCTGAAGCTGGAGGATTGCCATGAGTGTGAGACTAACCTGGGGCTACATAGTAAATTCAAGGCCAGTCTGAATTGCATAGCAAGACCTTGTGTCAAAAAACAAGAAAGAAAGAAAGAAAGAAAGAAAGAAAGAAAGAAAGAAAGAAAGAAAGAAAGAGAAAGAAAGAAAAAAAGAAAAAGAAAGAAAAGAAAGAAAGAAAGAAAGAAAGAAAGAAAGAAAGAAAGAAAGAAAAGAAAGAGAGAGGGAGAGAGAAAAAGGAAGGAAGGAAGGAAGAGAGAAAGAGAAAAGAAGGAAGAAAGAAAGGGCATTAGCAATTTCAAGGGGGAGTAAAATGATCAGTATGTGATATGTACATGTCTCAAGAACCCAAACTAAATATATCCCAAGCATAAACTAATAACAAAATTTAAATAAAATAAATTAGCAATTTTAATTTTAATATAATTTGACACAGACCATATAAGTTCATGTGTATTTTGTGTCTGTGTATGTTTGTATAGACATAGATAGAACTATTCATTCAATATCAGCAGCACATGGCATACACGAGAACCACAGAGAATTAAATATCATATAGTGGAAATTGGAAATCCCAATAAAAAGAAAAGAATTGATAGCTAATTGAGAACATGGATTCAGCAACCCTTTCATCCCCAATTGTGTTCTCAAACAGTTAAGGAACTCAAATTATAATGTCAACTACCATCCAAAATATCATCTTCATAACGAAAAACTGCAGAAGAAGGCATAGAATGTCAAACACTTACAATGAAAATCAAATGGGGTAGATGACTTAACCCCCAAAAGCAGATAAAATTCCAACTCCATCAATTTATTCTCCAAATTTATCAGCCAGGTAAAACACCCCGTAAACCTAGAGCAGGGTAGCTGAGGAGTAGAACCAGTTTGAGGCTTACAATAAATTAAATAGTTCCCCAGGCAGAAAGAGAATTGGTTATGCCAATGACAAAATAATAGCATTAGAAATCAGTATCACAACGATTGCACACACACAAAAGTCCTCCATGCATACCCAGAATTTGAAAACTGCACTTTTAGAGTGTTACACCTCAAGCATTATATGGAATGTAGCAAAGAAATACTAAGAAGAGAATGTAAAGCCTTACATGCTTATGTAGGAGAAAGAAAAGTTTTTAAACGAGCTGTGCTTTCAATTCTCTTTTATTTGAAATGGTTAAAGGAAATAGAATGCCCCGAATCTAGATGAGTAAAAACTCAATAACAGAGGAAAGACACAGGGAAAATCAACAAAACCAATAGCTTGTTTTTTGACCAAACCAACAAGGTAAATCATGCAGTGCTAAATCAATGAAGAGGGGCTGGGGATTTAGCTCAGCGGCAACGCGCCTGCCTGGCAAGCGCAAGGTCGTGAGTTGCGTTCCCGGTACCGGAGAAAAACCAAAAAAAAATAAAAAAAATAAAAAATAAATCAATGAAGAAAAACAGCAAAGCCAACACTACCACACACAGAAGAGAGTTTAGAAAATACAATAGATCTGTGTCGTTCTTGCTGAAAATGTAAAATCTTAAGTGAAGATAACGTATAGAATATTATCATTTATCAAGTAATAGAAAAGATACATAGCTACACCATGAATTCTATAACCATTAGAAATCAAATATGTGCACACATATGCACACAATGTAAAACCTGAAGGGGTTCAATAAGGTTTTACCAAAATTTAAAGAAACAGACAGCTTTTACTTATAAGAAAGCCTAAGAAAATACAAACAAATTAATTGGAGAGAAAAGAGAAAGGAAAATCCCCCAACCTCCTCCCTATAACCTTGACATTGAACCCACTCAGTGAAATCAAATCACCCATGATAATAAACGTCAAATCCTACAAAAATTATTATCTAAGAAAATAACATGTTTAGTATATAATTAGTATCATGACTAGTTATGACATCCTATAAATACAAATTTACCTAAATATTGGAAGAATCTGTTACATTCCTACACCTTAACAGAAACAAGCAGGATCTGGATTTTAAGTGCATGTTGGGAAGAGTGCAAAATTCCATCCTTATTTACTAAAACTTGCAAACTGAACTTAAACTTGAAGGAAAAATTCCACATTAAAAATGTACGATAATTCATCAACAAGTATTTGGAAGGAAAAAGAAAGTTAAATATTATATGATTTCAAAGCTAATATAGTGAAGGTCCGATAGTCTTACTTTTACCAGGAAGACTCAATTATAAAGTTATAACCATAACAATACCACTGTACAAGTAGAAATAAGTCTGACAAAATGAAGTAAGTTACATAAGGAAAATTATAAAATCTTATTGGAGGCATGAAGAACTAAAACATTGATAAAATACACAGAATCATGGATAAAGATCTGCAATATCAAAAGGTCAATTTTATGTCAATTAACCTATAAATTCCATGAGATTTTGGCTGATAGCTAAAATAATTTGGAAAATAGATCCTAATATTAACTTGGAAGGAAAAGAACCTAAATATTCTTAAGAGAAAATGAAGCAAATCCACTACTTACATAGCTTTTATTCAAGACTGATGTCATAGATTTATGTCAAGGGTTAGTTACAAAGAATGATCATTCATAGTAAAATAATTACACCAATGAGATAAGACAGAGAATCTCAGGGATGAATTCTCACATATATGCAAATAGGAGAGTGAAAGTAGCGAATGAGTGGGTGAATAATGTTGCCCTAATTTTTAATCCATACAAAGTTTCCTGAGGTAGTACTCATAATATAAAACTATATTCCAGATAAACTGTACACCTAAAGGTAAAGAGCAAAACTGTAAAACATTTAAAGTAAATACGAAAAAAATGTTTTATGAACTCACAGTGGAGAAAGATTTTCTAAATACTATTCCAACACACGAGGAAAAGGAAAAAGGATGAAAGTATATATTAAATTGTTTTTTTTTGTTGTTGTTGTTTTTTGTTTTTCTTCCGGTACCAGGAATTGAACTCACGACCTTGCACTTGTCAGGCAGGCACTTTGCTGCTGAGCTAAATCCCCAGCCCCTATATATTAAATTGAACTTTCTACACAGTAAAATAGATCATGAAAAGCAAAAACAGAACAATGTAATAGAGGACATAGCTGAATATGCTGTAGTATTTAGTACAGTGGGTTTCTAGGTGGCAGTTACATTGACTGTATCAACATAAAAATCGTATAGAAATATTTCATCTGCAACACTAAGAAATTTTAAAATTGTATATATAATAAGTCTTGAATTGCAAGGATAAAAGGTTGCATACCAGTTGTGCATATATATAATAAAAGAAAAAGGCATGGTGCAGAAAGTCATACATTTATGACTGGTAAAATTTATAGAATGGTATGTATGGCTGGGAGAGGGAAGGACAGAAGATAACTAGACCTCAAGTGTGTATCTTGTTTTATCCATCAACAAGCAAATGAGAGCTAAGGAAATATGGCTAACTGGTGATATTTGTTAGAATTGCATGATAATAATTGAATACATACTTCTCCATAACTGTCTATATGTTTCACATTTTGTAACACTTTAAAAACAAGCCACAAAATTAAACCACAAACTCACATTCCCACCAGGTCACATGACAGTAGACATGGACAGTGATTTGGGATTCAGGTGTATAGCTGCAGCTTTATAAGATTTGCATAGAAACTTTGAGATGTGAATTTGACATTTGAATTCTCAGAAACGCATTTATCACTTGTCAATTTTCATGAGCATTTTGTGAATCCTCCACCTCCGTGATTGTCCTGGGGCTTCCAAACGCTTCCGCTAATGTAAGTCCCTCCCTGCAGGTGGGCAGTGCTATGAATATAAGTGGGTCGCAAGCGCGTGGAAGGGCTCTTCCCGAACAGTCTGGTGTCAGCGGTCAGATGGTACAAACGTAACAGGTAAACTCCCATTCCTCTTTGCTCTTTGCAAGTATTCCTGTAACACACATGTAACTGGCTACGTAAAATAATGCAGGAAACCAAGATATTTTACCTTTCAACACATGGTTGAGATTAGCATGCCTGAGCTGTATACGTGTCTGGTAACCAGTGACAAATTATTTTATTTTATACTGTTTCAAATTCTGCCTCACATAGTCCTTTTAGATATTGCTGCTAGAACTTATTAAATTAAAATAGTGACTGTGATAAGTCATAATTATAAGTAATTTTCAGATTGTACTTGAAATGTTGAATATGAACAAGCTACTACATGTTTTAAAAATCAGTGTTTTCTGTTTGTGCTGTATGCCTTAAAGGTAATACAAATGCCCGCCAAAAAATCACCAAAGGTATATGATTTTATAAATCCAAATAACTTGCTTAAATTTTTAAAATCTATGATTGAGAATTTTGATTAATTAATAAGTAATACTTATTAATTAATAATTTAAGGTGATGACAGAGTAAATGAGCTTTTCTCTTTTCAGATGGCCTGGGTTTGGGCCATCACCTTAAATTATTATACTTCCAAAGGAGAAATGCAGTAGGCTTTCTACTGTGCTTTGACCTAAATATACTTCCAAAGAGCTACTCTAATCTGCAGTTACTAAAAGTATCTTTATGTGATTCCAGTAAGTGCAAGAAATCTCAAGGACCCATTAAAGGGGAAAGAAAATTTAATATGAGATATGTAGTGAATCACTCTGCATATTTCCTAGAAAGAAATAAAAATCAGAGCCAGAACCTCAACCTTGGATGTACGGATCCAGAAATTCCTTTTTGTAGCTCTAACGTACAGAAACCTGCATAGCATAGTGGAAGAGGTAGTGTTGACAGTTCACTGCTCAGGGGCACCTCCTGACTTGCTGTTCTGATCCTCCTGCAGAAAAAAGAAATAGCACTTGCACGCTCATGAGTAACGTTCACTTATAATTTTAACTTTAATATATACACTATGTGTGCAAAGATCAATATGCTTTTGGAAACCATCCATTTTCATATTTAACTTTAAATCACCTGGATTATTTACTTCATCCCTATGAAAGCTGGAACATGAGGCCAAATTCTCTTCTTATGAAGATTTGATTTTTCACCTGAGGAAACAGTGCTGAGACACCCTTGAAAGCAGCATCTCCCAGTGGACACACATGTAACAAAGAAAAGACACATACCAGGAACCTTAGCTTTTTCACTGGGCTTAGTAGGGAAAGAAAGCCTGCCTGAGCCCCACTGTAAGAGTCACAGGGTAAGAAGAGCCTTGAATAGGGACACAGAGGCTTTGTGAATCAGAAGGTATTACAGAAGTATCCATCAAACTTGGAAGCTGGCAATAAATTTCTACATTCTTTTTAAAACCATTCTGGGCCTTATTTTTTTCAAATGTATATGCAAATAACATTAATCTAATTTTCCTTGCCCATATTAAAGTTCTTTTCACACTCTGCATGGGGCTTTTCACAATGCAAAGTTAAGTCAAATTTTAAAGACTAGGGGCTGGGGATTTAGCTCAGCGGCACAGTGCCTGCCTGGCAAGCGCGAGGTCGTGAGCTCAATTCCTGGTACCAGAAAAAAAAAATTTTGAAGACTTACCTGAGGAAATTAATTTTTTATTTTTTAATAAGTGTATCAAATGTATTTATTTCTTTCTAATGTTTCTGTTACCATAAAGCCAATGTGTAAATAATTTGTGATAACTTCTATGTGCAATCTTGTTCCTCCTTTAAGGAGAGATGAGACTGTTTATACAACATAGATATGGTACTTTAACTGATAAGTAATTGTCATAAGAAACTCTACATAATGTTTTCCTTTTTTCATGTGTTTAATGATAATAATTTATAAAACCACTGAACTTAAAATTGCTTTGCAACAACTACTTTTTGGTGACAACTTTCCATGTATATTTTGTATTCGTAATTTTGAAGGACAAAGAATTCACAATCTGCACCTTTGGTCAGATCCAGAGGATTATCAATTCTGTAATCAAAGACAAAAATTTCTTGCTAAAATTCTGTTAAACTGAACAAATATAATTTGAAAGTGTGAGTACCTTCCATGTTTCCAATGTTGTTTCTTAAAATACCCACTCACATTTTAACACATCTCTCACAATAACTAAGGCATTATAATCAAAAACAAAAGAAGGAAAAAGGGATACACTCCTACAACATAAAGTTAAAAAAGTACAAACAACTTGATACCTACATTCATTTTCTTCATTATACCACAAAAATACACTAAATTAATAAGAATAATGATATAGCTCATAAGAAATGTGTTATAAAAACATATTTATGCAGTGCTCACATAAAGTTTCAATAGACATGAAATCTATTATTTTGAATTGCCAAGTAAGAATTTTGGCTTTAGAAAGAAATTAAATCTGCTTTTCAATCGCCGGGCTTGGCTGAAGGAGCTACTGACAGAAATGGGTGGGGTGCAACTAATTTTTACAAGATACAGTCATAAAACCATCCTTCTGACAAATGCACAGTGATACCTACCAAGTCCCACACGTTGCGTTATCACTTCTGGGTAAGAAAGACCTCAGGTTGTTAAATAAAGTACCCAAGTATTTTACAGACAGAGAAATCCTTGGGATTTACAGAGTGGCTCAAGAGTGAAAGACAAGTCTATAACAGCAGTATGTTTTTATCATAGCAAGAGATTCCATTTGTCAAAACACGGCTTTCTGTTCTGCAGGGGGCTGCCTGGTGCGGAGCCAGCCTGAGGCTGACAGGTCTTGTAACCCTCCGTGTAATCAGCCCCATTCGTACTGCAGCGAGGTAGGTGCAAATCCATGACGCTGGACAACCTGCCCGCGTTGTTTGTCCCCCGGCTGTCTGTGATGCAGTTTACTCCCCTCCCTGCAGAGCACATTTTCAGAAAACCTCCACATATGACAGTATAACCAATTGGGCATGCATTTATCTTTAAAATACCTGCATAACACAAAAGATAGGTTCATATTTCTTTTAATGTCATTAAAACAAAAATGCCGTGCTGAATTTTTAAAGAAAAACCTCCTCTAAAGCTTCGCCTTTGAAGAGGGCCAGTTCTACTTAGAAAGGTCACCTCACATGCTGGGTGTTGATCTTCGCTTTCTCCTGCAGGCAAAGACCTGCCGCTGCGAAGAAGGATACACTGAAGTCATGTCTTCCAACAGCACACTCGAGCAGTGCACACTCATCCCCGCGGTGGTGATGCCCACGGTGGAAGACAGGAGAGGAGATGTGAAAACCAGTCGTGCGGTCCATCCAACCCAGCCCTCCGTGAATCCAGCAGGCCGGGATAGGAGCTGGTTTCTGCAGCCCTTTGGGCCCGGTGAGATGATCCAACAGCCCTGCTGCGTAGTTCTTTAGTTACGTCCTCAGCCAGGAGCACACTAAATAAAGAAGCGTAATAAGAAAAATGTAAATTTGCAGGGGGAAGTATGTTCTTATTCACAGCTGAGACAAAAAGACTGAAAAGACATTCTAGAATTTTCAGTTTGATCACAGAGCCGTCATAGCTTGAACCTTACCTGGAAATCCAGTGCTGCAGTTCTGTGACAGGGGAATTTGGTCTTCAGAACACTTTATATGAGCCTTAAAAGCTGGTGTACTCACAAAACTGAAAAGCTGTACTAGTATCAGATTCATACGGGCAGGACTTGAGCCTTCCTGTCTAAATAGGATGATCCAAACTTGAACACTGGGGCTGGGGATTTAGCTCAGTGGCAAAGTGCCTGCCTGGCAAGCGCAAGGTCGTGCGTTTGATTCCGGGTACAAGAAGGAAAAAAAAAAAAAAAAAAAAAAAAACAAACTTGAAGACTGACCAGACCATTTTCAATTAAGCAGATAGTTCTAATGTTTCTAGTGCTGGAGTGGACACCAACACAGGTAAAAGCTTGAAGGCCTGATGAAATACTGTTCCCTGCACTGCATCCTTTCGTCCATAATTGGAGCCCAGTCATGTGAGAAGTTCCCCAAAGATTAGGTAGAAGCTAAGATAATGCCACTTTTCCTTTTGCACACTGGAGGAATTACTAGTTCATGAACAAAGGACCTCTCCAGGCAGAGCTAGGCATAGTCTGTTTTACAAGTCCATTAGAAACATCGGAAATGAAGAAAGGAATCCGTAGCTAGCATATCTCTATTTCTAACGAGTTCAACCGACAGGCCTTCCCTTACTGGAGAGTCATTATAGAGTTTTTAAAGGTACTTTAAATATTTGAGTAGTTAACTTTATCAACACTATATTTGTGTTGATTAGGTTCTTTTTATTTTTCTGAAAATGCAATTCATTTTGTCGAGCTGATTTGTCTATGTAAGCAGTAGAGTTGTAAATGGCCATTTGCAGTCTTGACTTTGACGAAGAATTCAAGCAGATCACTGCAAATCAAACCCAAGTTTAACAAAAAGAATATTATTGCCATTATTTTCGATTTAATAGGTAGTTTACCCAAAGTGAAAATTTTAGCATTTCAAAAAGAGGCAGCTTCTGAAAAATGAGAAACATTCTTTGTCTTTTGAAAACTCCAGAGTATTTGTTAAAGAATTTTTAGGACAAAAAAAGCCAAAAGCAGAATTCCTTTAAGAGGTATCTTCTGTTTGAAGTTTATTCAGAACATATAGCTGAGAAGTTTAAAGAGAATGAGACCAGAAAACTGAATTAATTAGAAAAATTCAAGTCATGTTTGATTCCATAGATTAGAAAAGTTAGGGAAAAATTATTCTAAAATCTTTGAATAAGCTATTTAAAGTGATTTTTTTCAAATAATATATCGTCAATCCAATCTTAAGGGACAATATATGTATAGAGTCAATAAAAGATTACTAATTATAGAATAAATAGGTTAAGTTTATTCACTTTGCTTTCATATAGAACAAAAATGTTATAAAATGACATAGTTTTCAAATACCATTCTACATCACCTTCGAATTGTAGGACTTTATTTAAATTTATTTTTCACCTTTTAATTTTTCATTCTCAAAATAGGTGTGAAATTATATATTTGAGTAGCATTACACATGCATTAAATTTGAGGTAAAATCAAGCAAGAAGCAGCATACATTTAGATATAAATTCAACATCTGAGTACAAACACTATTTTCTGCTTTGAAATTCAATCTTCACTGCTAACATCATTAGTAGCTAGCATCTAATTCATAACAGTAACTTTGTGTTAATCAGTAATTGCTGAAGAAATAATTTATTTTGAATTTCACAAAGACATTAGTCATCTGTGGTTGGTCATTGGTCATAGTTAAAGACTGTCATATAAATTCCAGAGCAATGGGAATTAATAGCTAATATCCATTCTTCTTAGACGGGAGACTAAAGACCTGGGTTTATGGAGTCGCAGCCGGGGCATTTGTGCTACTCATCTTTATTGTCTCCGTGATTTATCTAGCTTGGTGAGTGTTTAAATATTTCAAAATCTGATGGGAAATACAATGTCTCCATTTCAAAGAAAATACTTTCATGTTACCTGAAACATAGAAACAAGAGACTAATATCTGAAATAAGTAGGTGACATTTATTCAGTACTCATGTGAAGCTCTAAAAAAATAAGACTTTAATCTTAGATGGCTAAAAACTACTAACTCTGTCTGAGCTGTTGCCTTTCTGGAGATGAGCCAGATATTCTAGGTCATCTTTTCAAGTTTATTCTTTTCCATATATGATGCTATTTTGTATGGACTGTGACGAACTGGGCATTTTTATAGTGAATTACTACTGGCGGAGGATATTATAGTAATATATAATCTCATTTAACTATCTATGTAAGCATGTGTTGCTTATAAATTCTGTGTAATTTGTCAAGGTTTCTAGCCTAATGCAAGTTATTATACTATAACGTCACTTTTGTTGTCAATCCTAGAAAAATTACACTTGAATAAATTGTCTTTTATAAGACAGTAAAATACTTGAAGTTTATTTAAAATTTTTTCTAGAGCCAAAACTGTGAAATTCAGAGACAAGAAAAATCAAATTCTAAGGTTAGATTCAGGCAATGTGAGCAATTTAGATCGATCAATCGCTTTTGCATCTTTTACCTTTTTATTTAAAATAATAAAATTCACAACTAAAGGTTTATTTTCTTTCTCTCAATTTTACTAAATCTCTTACAGCAAGAAGCCAAAGAAGCCCCAAAGAAGGCAAAACAACCGGCTGAAACCTTTGACTTTAGCCTATGATGGAGACGCAGACATGTGACCTATAGCTTTTGCTGACAGAAACCAATCTTGGCTTTCTGAATCTCCAGTAGCCAATCAGAGGCCACAATGACAGTGTGCAAACTGTGGATTATAATTCATTTTAACTTTTTAAAAAAGCATCATAAAGAGTGGAAGTCACATTGCCACTGGAAATCTGCAGGAGGGTACCGCTTACACATAGACCATCCACCCTAAGAATTCTAGGAGATTTAGTGGAATACATGCTACATTTTGAGAGTTTTATGTCATCTTTCTTGAAATCTGCCAACTGAAAAACCACTTTCATCTCTAAGAACTAGTGGTGAAATTGGCCAGATGGGGATTCCTGACGCAAGACTGTTCCCAGTGTTTAAACCCACAGAACTTGCTAGCATGAAGAGTTTATACCACAATCTCTGCAGTACTATAGTCAAACATAACAACATGTATACTCAACTGAATGATATTCATTATAATGTCATATTATGTACTTGATAATAAGCAACTTTAACAGTGAAGAAGAGATCGGCTCCAAGCTGAGCAGAAACCCCATGGAATAAAGTCAGCATCTCTATGGTTCTTGGTAGCATTGGTTGACGTGCATTTCAGAGACAAAGACTCTGTTTTTAAGACTTCGTTCTTGTTTTTCCACAATGTACAAGTGCTGGACATTACTAGTATCTTAGAAGAAAGGGTCCTCCATTTCCGTATTTTATAGTTGCTATTGTCCGGAAAACTAATTTGCTTGTGTTGCTGCAGTACATTTCTACTTTCCCTAATTTTCAGCTGGTTGCCTGCATCTTTTTTGCTCTATGGAAGGCATATTTTTGCACTATATTAGTGCAGCGTGATGGGAATTTAACCAGTATCGCCATAGAAACTGCCTCTTTTCAAATGGCATGAAGACATCCGTGCCAAGAGTGTCCGGGACACACTAGCAATTCCCGGTACCCTGACGAGAGTGAAGTTCAGGTTGAACGGCGACAGGATGGAATCGGCTCTTGCACCTGCTGTATGCACTCTTCCTCCTCACTGTAGCCACTGCAAAACTGGCAACAGAGCTGTAACTGCAGGGTGGAGGGCCCCAGCCCATGGACCCTCACCAGGTGGATCCTTCTAGTTGGTTTGTAATTGCTCTTTGAAGACTGTTTCTGACTAGATTTTTATATTTGTTATCTTTGTTAAAAAAAGAAAAGAAAAGAAAAAAAGGAACTGGTTGACTTTTTAATGCCAAGCAGATGGAAAAACGATGTATGGATGATTTTTGTAGCGAAAAGAAGTCAAAACTGTGTGTTCATTCTTTCTCCCTGGTTTGTTTTCTCAGCATCAGATTCAAAGTCTGTCCTTCAGGCACTATTTCTAAACTCCCTAGTCTTCTGTCTTGCACACTGGTTTAATCTGAAGCAGTCCTTTAAATATAGGATTTCAAAAGCTAAAATTTGAAAATGGGAAGGATGAGTATCTCACCTGGGACTTCTTTAAGTGTCTTTACCAAGGGTGACAAACATTTTCTCCTCAGAATTGAGTAGTAAGTATTTCTAGCGTGGTCTGTGTTGCATTTTCTTAACTCTGACATGCATAATGCTGACGTGGACGCAACAGAATAAGAAAAAGAATGAACATGACTGCTTTCCAGTTAAATTTTCCCTCCAGAAACCAGCCAGCAGGTGACATGTACTAACCCTAGTTTGCTGACACTTGCTCTAGATGTTCTTTAATGCTAGTCACCATTGTGTCATCTCTAGTTTTCATTCATTTACCATCTGTCCATCACCAGAGCTTAGTTTCAAAGGTGAAAATCCAGCCGGTAAATTTACCATTGCATTGAAAGTTGCCGTATTTTCTACAGAAGTCACCCAGAAACTGTCCAACAATAGCCGACTTCTTTCTTATGGAAAGAAAGTTTGAAAGATCATTAAAAAGCAATATCATCTTTCAGGCAACACTATAGCAGTCTTTGGGAGGGCAAGAACTTGAGGTTTTCCAGTCTTTTTAAAGTAGTAATAAATTATTTTATCTTTTAAAAGTAGTAATAAATTATTTTATCTTAAACTTAGCTGTGTTGCTGTGAACATTTGTGGGTTATGTTTTGCCTTCACACAGTCCACAGCGGATCTTGGGCTCCCCCTGCTGTAGGTTAGGATATTTGCAAAGACCATAAAACATCAGTTAGGATGTCATTGTCCCTAAAATAAAAATATTTCCACCTATTTCAATAAGAAATAAATATGATAAGCATCTGTCCTTAATCCAATATTCAGTAGATTAGGCAATGAAAATCATTTCAAAGAGAATACGTAGTCAGAAAGATGAGAATTTTATTATAAGCCAAGGAATTAACCAAGGAAAAACAAAATCCATCTCACCTCTTTTATTGAAGAGGGAGAAAAAATATTATTGTTACTCGAAAACTTGATTGTCAATATGCATACTTCCAGATAATACTCAAGTTGATCTCTTTTAATAAAATAAAAATGGGACATTTTCATTTGTTCAAAATGGTTCAGTCTACTGCAATTACTTGAAAAATTATGTCTTATGAAATGTGTGCAACACCTAATAAAAAATTTGTAATGTACACTACAATAAAATATTATTCCAATTAAAGCTATGCTTAAAATAGTAAAAATACCATTGATTCAGAAGACAAATCACTATTATCTGATCTATGTTGTAAGAATTAAATGAACTTAGAGATCAAAACTACAAAATATTATGAAAATATAAGATGCTTTAATCCATAAATTGGTTACATTTTGTAGCACTCTATACATATGGGGAGGTTAGGTTTAACCTAACACTGAGAACCTGTTGGAGGCGCATTTTTAGGATAAGTCCGTACTTGATATCCTCTTGTTTTTGTCTCTTTAAAATAAAAAATACATAAAACATGAGAAGGAGACAGTGAAGCTATTTGGCTAGTTTGGACCAAGGAGAGGTTACTGTCGTCATGTTTATAACCTGAGAAAATTTTGGTTTTGTTCCTGGTCAGAGTCCATCATGGGTTAAATACTTTTCTAGAATTTCATCACAAATATCCTTTTCCTATTCATTCTACAGACTCAGGACAGGAACATAGTCTTAACTTGTCCATTGACACTTTGCCTTACCAGAATGATCTGTGAGCTCAAAAGGATTTAGAAATACTGTTCTGTAAGTGTGAAGGTCCACTTAGTTTAAAAAAAGAAAAGAAAAATACTGGCACAGTGATATATGGTTTTGTTGGACTGTTTGAGGTGGACCCATATAAAAGTGGCACAACTGATCTCTCTTGCAAGGGGCTGATTTGCTTATGTATCAATACCTGATCAGATACATTGACCATAATTCTTTTTTAACGCCTTTTTGAGGATACTGCAGTGTAAAAAAGAAAGGAATGCATAAAAGCACGTCTGTGCTTATAATGAAGCACAAATTACTTATAATAAGGAAATGTTATTGAATTACCACCTGTAAGACACTTTCCTAGCACTAGAAAAATTAGTAATGGCTTTTACATAAATAGATACTTAAGACATTCAGAAGAAGAAACGGTTTAAGGAGTGATTATAGCACTTCAACACATTGCCCTTTCCTCTAGATTTGTTTATAAATATGTTCCATGTGTGACACGAAAGCCCAGGGCCATGCCATGAGGAGTTCGGTATTTTCCCTGTTCCTCCCTTAGGGAGGTAGGAGTGGTCCTTGTAATTTAATCAAAAGTCTGTTAAGTTCCTGGACATTTCAAGAGAAAGTCACTTCTTACAGGGAGCAAGTAGTGCCTCTCACGCATTTATGTACCTCCTCCAAATAATTTCATTCATGTTCCTCTAGCTGATTTTCCTCTGCCTGGTTTCTCTCTACCCTACTGTCTTCGCAATGGCTTCTCTTGTCTGCTTCCTTCAGAATCACCTTCCACTAAATGTGCACCAATTTGTATATCAGAAAAATAATGGAGAATATTTACATCGCCTTCCTGTTGGACTCAAAGTGTCAGAGGGTGAATGTCTTGATTTGAGCAGAATGGATTGGTCAAAGAAGTAATTAAAGGAGAGAGGAAAGATGTGGAAGGCACACCAAAACAAATGAACAAATTTTTTTCTAGAAAAGTATCACTTCCTACACTTCATTAATTACTACCCAATGTCTTTGCTTTTTCCTTCTACATCTGTCTTGTATCCTTCTTTACTTCTCATTTTGCAAGACAGTGAAGGAGGCCTGTACCTTTCAATATTGTACAGAAAGAAAAGCCCCTCCTAGGTGGATTTGGGATCTTCACAGATTTGCGAGAATCCTGCGTCTCAAATGATCTGGGAGATTCCTATTGGTAAGAGTATTGCCAAACCCAAACGTGTTTCTTGTCCTCTTTCCTCTGTAAGGTTGGGGGTGTTGGAAGGATAAACTCTTTACAAATTTGTAAAGAATCTGTCCGAGCATGATCTTTGCGGGTATAGTTGAGATGCTAGAACTACATCTGCCTGTTTTGTTAACAATAGCTCCAGCTGCGCCTGCTCTCGGACGGCCCTGGTTGCAGTCAGGACTGCAGCATTTGGAACACAAGTGTGGGCCTCACAAATGGTTTTTTTTTTTTTGAAGAAAAGGTGTTGTGCTGTGGAATGATAAAGCTATGCCTAGCAGGTACACTGAAAAACAGCTATGTCTACAATGCTAAATGAATTAAGCAAATCCTGAGTGAACAGAGTTAATTTTGCAGCGTTTTTGTTTTGTTTATTATTTGTCTTTTGTGCTTCTACCAATCCAGACCATAAGCCAGGCAGTGTGTGAAGAGTTTTAGTTCATGGCAGTCATGTTTCCAGTGATCAAAAACCTGCATTCTGTTTAGAATATAATTAAATTTTATTATTGTCAGTTTTGTCTTTGTGTTGTGTAGGGTGTTTTTTTTTTTTTCTTTTTGTAAGTACTAGTTTCTAGAATACCTACTTTTCAGCATCCATAAGCTTTTTCTAGCTATTTTTCAGGGATGTGTTCGTGTTTATTTTTAGAAAGTAATCATTTAGATTCCCTTTCTGGTACTTTTTCCTGGTCGTTTTTTATCAGAGATTTGAAGAGATCGGCGTCTGTCACTGTAAAATATAAATTTATTAAATTTGCAATCTATCTTTCTATGAATCATAATCTTCTAAATGTGTATTTTTTGTTAATTTAATTTCCTAAATATTTATTTTGTTTAAATAAGGAGGCAGCTGTCTATGAATTTTTTTGTTAATATTACTTTGTAAATTGTGCGATGTAATTTATTTTGAATTATGTACATTTCTTTTTAACGCACAAAATGTCTGTGTGCAATTAAGTACAGATTTGAAAATAACGTTACTAAGCTTTTCAGTTAACACAGGTGGCATGTGAAGATGTAATATGCTTTTTTTACATTTTCATATGGATTATTTGTAAATAACTATATTGTGACAAACATAAACATGGAAGTCATTTTCATTCTAATCATCTTTGTCTGAGTTTTAATTTCCATCCTTTATTTCTTAAATGTGGGTTTAATTTTTTTTGTCAGTGAATGTCCAATTCCTAGTAATACTGTATTGCCCTTTTCTGGGAGATTTTAAGTCCAGTTTCAAAAGTTTGAGAAATTCAAATTTTACCACAGTCAGCTGAGGCTGCCAGATCAATCCCCATGGTCACAGGACCTCTTCATTTTCAGTGAATCAAAGGAGGGCACCAGAGAGAATGGGTGACATGGTAGACACGAAGCAACTCTACCAGGATCGTTGGTCATAAGCTGTGTTAGCCCCCAAAGGCCAAACCTAAAGGCAGAACCTCACATGTAAACCAATTCAAGCAAGAGCGCACAAATTGGGCATTTTACTGCCAGGAGAAACACAGTCATACTTTGCTACCTGATTGCTTTGAAACACATCTGATCCGATACTTGATGCTTTTTGACACTAAAATTTTGTTAAGGTCCTCATCCTTTCCCTGGTACGCTTGTCATACAAGATATAACTCTCCTTGTGGATTGTCTCACGACTCACTAGTCTTTCTAGCCCAAACAGTGTACTTGGAATTCATTGTCTTTGGTGCTTATCCTGCCTTCTTGGACCAATTAACAACACCAAAGTAGCGCTGTAACCGTTTGCTAGAATACACCTAAGCAGGGAACCCTTAAATCTCTTAGTATATGAACTACACAAATATATAGCAAGCCTCCAACTCTGGATGAAAAATAGTGACTTCCAGGCTCCTCCTTTTCTGTATTGTTCATACAACCGAGTCTAAAGTTTTTTTTTTAGTGTATCACCCAGATATTTCTTTCAATGTATCTGAACATTCATAGTCAAATACGTTATTTCCCCCTTTAATTTGTAACTCTCATATTTGTCTTACAGTCACAAATTATGAACATGCCTGGGCTACATTCTACAGTTGTTTCTTCTGTGTCTTTCAAGATTCTTTTCATTAAAATCTGAATATATTCTGAAGAGCAAACGACATACACATAATTCAGTTTACACGTCAGTGTCATGTTGAATTTCACAAATGCAACAAGTAATGGCTTATTTTACCCTGAAACAGTATTATATGCATACAGAATGCATGAATCCAGTTAGGTTTTCTGATACTGCAGTAATTTTCTTATTTTTAGGTGATTTCTCATCTCCCTTCCCACCTTCCTCCATAGTATCTCTGCCAAAGTAACTGAAGGTAGCAACCTGATATGGATCTGGTAATTATTTTCTCCTTGATCATATTATCTTATAAACACATTGGGAGTAGGAGGTAAGGAGAGAGAGAATTGGGTTGAATTTGACAAATGCAACAAGCAATGGCTTATTTTTCCCTCCTATAATATCGTTTTCAAATACTATAAAAATCCTCTTATTGGCAACACCAGGGCAAATACCAGACATTTTTTATCAGAGATTTGAGGAGATTGGTGTCTGTCCCTGTAAAATATAAATTTATTCAATTTGCAATTGATTAAATTTGAATTATGAGAAAGTCTCAATCCACGTTAAACCAAACACCAACCCCCTTCATTGTTTTCAGGTTCTTACCTATCAGAAAATTTGAACGAGCTTCCCTCTGCTCACAGACCTGTGTGTTGGTTATTTCCACTGTCTTCTGCTGTGTACAGTTTTTAAGTGGCAATTCTAAGTGATATCGATGTGGTTGCTAATTTTAGGTCATCAAATAAATTTTAACTTTCAATTAAAGAGCAGTCTTTCTAGATTCTATTTCTCCACAATATATTTTAAGTCATAACCAAAAAAGATTTTACAATGGCTCCTGCCAACTCACTGTCCTTGTGGTGAGGTTGGGTTTTCTCTTCACGTGCCATTCCTGTCCGTGAGCACCTCTCTCGTGAGAACCTTTGAGTGCGGGGCCACGTGGAAATGAGGCTGGGTCCCTATCTTCTGTTAGAACTGCACTTCCTCAGAGCTTGCCCTTACTGTCACTGCTGCCCAGAGCTCTCCCTCCCGTGTTGACACGGCTGCTCCATCACTTCTTCAGGTCTCTACTCAAATGCCGCCTCCTCTCAGAAGGCTTCTTCGCCCATTGTTGTCACTATCTTCCTGCCTTTCCTTAATTTTTAATGCCTTTTCTTACATCCTTTTAATCTTTGGCCGTGGGACCTAGGCTCCTCCCCTTCTACACATGGGAAGCCAGGTTTTCATCTGCTTTGTCCCTTGCCCAGACTGATGTGCAACACATAGTAAGAATAATGAATTCAAAACATCAGCTAAAGAATTAGTAAAGTGCAAGCTTTATGGATATCAGTGGCAAGAGGTAAATAGAAGATCAATAGCAAACAGGTCTCTAGGGTTAAGAGAACAGCCGATTCACCACAAAAGGCTGAATAGATTGTTAGTTCTCCACTGTGGTGAATACATATAATACATATAATTTTCATTTCAATTGCTGAAAGTATGTTAATATAAATACCTCAAAAGACAGACACATTGTTGTGACACAATAGCAAGATCACAGAGCATTTAAATAAAAATGGCCGTGACTGAGTCTGCCCTTGAAGTGCGGCAGCAGAGGATGCTCCGGTGGGGGCGGGCGGCGGGATTCGGAAAACTATGTTGAATACCAGGTCTTTAAAAGAATTCTATTGTAGTTTCCTCTCAGTTTAATTTACTTGCCTAGCCAGTTCTGCCAGGAGTAGGGTAGGGAGCTCAGAATACTGGAAAATGAAGAAAAGGACAATTGCAAATTTCTGGAAAGCTTTTGTTCCAGACACAGAAAGCAATCTGATTGTACTAACCAGTCTTAAACTAAATTAATTTATTTGGTAACGTCAATAGTAATCAAATTACACGCTATTTGCTTCAAACTTGAAATGAAATGCAGTGGACTACAGTGATGATTCAACGTGCTTCCCAAATCCCCATAATTTGCTCTTGAACAATAGAAAGGGACATTCAGCAACCATATAAACACATTAACAGACCATTTAAGATGCACTTCTTATAGAAAACAATGCCTTTATTTTCTTAAGTAAAAAGAATTTCAAAATCAAAGACAGCAAATATTTTTAAAGGATAATGCAGGCTAATGTCCCAGTCTTTCATAAACACGGTGAATAGAGTAAAAACCCTGTCAAACTGCATCCCTAGTGACCCTCCAGCTGCTGCACTGACAGCTGATGTGTGACCATACCTTTCCACAGTTTATCCTTATGAAAGGTTTCCTCATTTATAACATGAGGATTTTTAAAAAATGTTTATCACTTTTAGCTATTTCTTTGCCAAAAGGACAACAAGTCCTTTCTTCAATACTGTCTTGCTCTCTATGGGGAAGATGACTTATAAGAATAAATTGAAAAGTCCATCACAAATGTAGAAGAAGTCATAACAGACCAGAGTTTAGCCTGCCACTTGTATAAAAGACCTTTAAAAGTTAATTTTGGTATGCTCATGAATTCTGATGTTTATATTGAAGAATCATAGAAAAATTAAATTAAAATATGCCCTGTAATGAAGTGTAAAATGATAGACTATGTGAGAGTGATTCTGACAAACATGCATGTTGCAAAAATAATATGACATTTGTTCTGCAGTAAAAGCTAAAAAGGGCTTTGATACAATTCCCTGCAGAGTAGGGATTAGATTGCTTTCAATATCAATGATTCCTAGCCAAAAGCACTTCTATGTAATTAAAGAGTCATCAACAAGCATATGTAGTAATAAACTGGTATCTTACTTAAATTACGATCATGTGTAGGAACAGCCCATTGGCACAACTATAGTGAGAGCAGTTCCTGCCACTATCACAGATCAGAGCTCGCATATCTTACAATGTGTGAAAAAAAAAAGAAGCAAAGGAGGGACCAAAACTTCTATCAAAAGTTCCATTTTACTTTGTGACAAAATGTGGGAATAGGGCCAAAAGAACAGGGAAAGAAAGTTGTGCAAAAGTTCTTGCGAACATTCATAGCTAAGGAAATGACACTTAAAACAGTGACCCAATAGGCTGGAAAAATAAGATTGGACAATTCATGCTTTTCTATTCTGGCTATCTAATGTACAGATGGCCATTGTGGAGTCTCCCATCTATCATCCAATACACCTACCTAACAAATCCCCTTGCAAAAGTATACATGTATTTTCTATCAGTTCTGTTCTTTTAAAGAACCCTCACTGATACAGATTCTGGTACTGGAAAAGTGGCATCATTGCCATGCCTGTACCTAACCATGTGGTATAGAATCCTCTAGAACGGATTTGCAAAAGGAGTTCTGAAGTATCTGGAGATGTAGGCTAGAGAAGCCCCGGAAAGCTGCAAACAGAGCTTGATGGGTGATTCTAATCAGAGCTCAGAAGCCCAGAATGCTGGGAAAATTCCAATAGTAAAAGTCAAGCTCAGATTTCAGTTGGGAACAAGGATTCCATTGGCTGTTGGACTAGATGTCACCAGAGTTACACTGTAGCAGAAAATTTATCTGCATTGTGCCCATATCTTGAGACTTTGGAGACCCTAGGAAGTTAGAGATGCCAGGAACTGAGAACACTTGCTGAGAAAAACCTCTGGCAGTGAGAAAAAAAACAACCCAAGAGAGAGGCCGTGTGGCAATGCCAAAGGAGCAGGGCCCCCCGTGCCCTCTAGACCTCGTATTTTGCAACAACCTGTCCCAGGTTCTAGACAAGGAGCTAATAGATTTAATGTTTGCCCCGATTGGTTTTTGGTCTTACTTTGGTCTGATTCCTTTATATTCCCCTTCTCCTCCCTCTTGGAATAGGAATGCTTATTCTGTGCCATTGTATGTCAGAAGTGTTCAACTTTCTTTTAGATTTGCATAGGGTTTCAAACTAAGAGTTTGCATTGAATCACAGAAAAGATTTTGGACTTTTCAGCAATGTTGGAACTGTTAAGATTGGCAACTTTTAAAGATGACTAAATACACTTTGTATAAAAAGATGGACATAAGTTTGGGGAGATGTAAGGCAGAATATCAAAGTTTAGATCTAAAATGTCTCCTGGAA